GGGGGGGGTGGTGCGGGGTGTCATTATTGAGTTTCCAGACTCGTTGTTTTGATTGAGGGGGGTTCTAATGAACAACCTCAACATAAGACATCAAGGGTTGCAAATGTAGGGCCTCATGGTTCAACTTCCATGTTACAGGTATGGTTAGCACCTAGGCCAAGAAGCGAAAGGCGAGAGTGTTCTTACCACGTGCACTATCTCTCCAAGTGTTCCAACCGCCAAGATCCAATTCCAGATGTCTAATCCGATGCCATAGATTGCGTGCTTGTTGCTGCGCATACGCTTGCACCTGCCCCAGAACATGCGGATCACCGATAGCTTTGTCAGGCACTTGATGTTAAGACAAGCTCGGGCACCGTATGTTTCACTACTGCTCAACTAAGCCCTCGTGGCCTCGTCTATTTGTGCCCGTAGGGTCATGTCCTGGTCCTCACCGCACTCTGACTGGGGTAGGAGCTCATGGTGGTTTCCTTGAAATAAGCAGGCTTTGCCAAGGACCGGAATCCACGACTGGCCCTCCGTTTGCTTTCCCTTCACTTCAACTCAGTGGACATGTTCCACCCCTGAAGAGTCCGCGAGTGTCGAAACCGCCAGGCCGGTGTGCGACGGGTGAGGTGTCACGCGCTGAGAGATGGCGCGGAGGGTTGGGTGACTACTTCAGGCCGGCAGCTCGGGGATTGCGGGCTTGGCTCTACTTGGAGTTACTGCTTTTAGATTTTGTGGCGTCTTGCTCATCTTGACAGGGACCGTCAAGAAGAAGCTAGTTGTTTGCTCACGAGGTAGGGAAACACGGCAAGATCAATAGTCTGACAGTCTGAGTCAAAACCTAAATCCACACCCTTCGCGATGTCGGGGATGCTCGGTTGCAGGTAGCAATGGCACACCCTTTCTGCAAGACTACAGCGGCGTCTACAAAGTTGTCAAGGAGCCGGTGTGAAAGCATCGCTGGGCTTCTCCGCTTGAGTACCATCGACGAGCAGATCTGGCCACCGGCTCGTTGCTTTGTCTGTCTGCACTCGAAAAGCAAATGATCTCTAAAAACTCTACAACAGGACTGGGATGATCAACAGCCTTTCCTGTGACACCCCCGAGACCCATCGGCCTGAAGTCCAGGAACCCCGAGGAACCATGCGAGAGCTTTCATTTCCAAACCACTCCCGAACCAAATGCTCACAAAGAGGCTGGGTCACTACGCCATGAGTCAAGACACCATGAGGCCACTGGGAAACCTCAGACGAGGCCACGAATGCCCTGATGTCCCAAAGAGCAGCATACTATTGGAAGTAGTATCTGCGACTACAGAATAAATAGCACGTAGTGGGCAAATCTCAAACAAACCGTGAGTGCGGAAACCTGGACTCCCGCGGGAGTTCTGAACTGCGATATTCCAAACCCTAGACCGTGCTCAACACCCAAGTCTGCTCAGGAGACCATCCTAACCGAGGCGTTCGAGCTCGACACTTCAGGGGGCAAGGCAGTGTGTTCGTTTGATGTCTTGATCTCTGAGGTTTTGTCGTTTGGGCCTTTTGGGATTGGTGAGCCAGAGGCCTTGTTCGTCAATGCTGTGAGGTTGAGGTGTCTTAGACTAAGGTGTCTTGGCCTCCCGCACTCCTGGCGGCAAAGTGTTGTGTCCATCTTCAGTTCTCTGAGCAGCGAACTAACGAACTATGACTCCCCGCCAGCCTGATACAACCTCCTCCCCAACCAGAGCGCAAAAGAACACTGCAGAGTTCGGTTCCTTGCACTGTGTCTTGCGAACGACAGCAGGTCTCGTTTCTTAGGGTTGCCTTCGCCGCAGCAGTGCGAACAACAAAGAGATGAACTTCAAGAAGCCCTACGGAAATCTCGTAAGTTTGGCCCCCGGAGCAACGGCCATCTTTGTCTGCTTCATGTCGGTAGAAAAAGACCATGCCTTACCCGTGTCATAGCCACCATCACCGTGGTGGCAACACCACCCGTGCGCAGCCGATGATGCAGGAGGCCCCACGCAAGCTCCGCCCGGGTGACCTCGTGGACGTGCGGATCTGGCCGAAGAAAGATGACAAGTCTGGGGCCCAAATATTTCAGGTGGCAACGGCTTCACTTGCACCTCCAGGGCAGCCAGCTTCCCGAATCAGGAAGGTGTTTCACGAGTTCCGATCCCAGAGCCAGCAGCCGAACCGAGAATCCAGCTGCAGGTCCGGTCTCATGCGCCTCAAGTGCAGCTTGGCATCACCTGAGTCATCCTTTGCACTTCGAGACCTGATGAGCAGAGCCGGGGCATACAGGTTGCCGGGTCATGCGGCCAGTTTGACACTCTCTGCCATTCAAAGAGGGTTGTGCGATCGCGGGACAGTTTCAGAAAATATCAAGAAATAGACTGTGCAATGTGGTAACTTATCGCATGCTCTCACTCCGAGCCGTCGAGGCAAATGCCGGACGGATGGTACGGTCGGCTGGGTGACGGCGGTGGGCAACACGGGAACTACTTTCCTGGAGGTGCCCGAGGACAAACAAAGCTCATACTGCGGATGTCGGTCTTCGGAGACTAACATGCGGTATTTGGGTTTACCCAACAGGCTTCACAGCTGTGTTGGGTCAGGGCCTTGGCGTCTTGGTAGTGGTTGTTGTAGGCTTCAATCGTACCGTGACATGGAACCGGCCAGGCGTTCGTTTGGGTTCCAGACTTCCACGTGTCCATATCTCTGTTCGGTTTCTCAATCGTTGAATGCTTTTCTTCTGTGCTGTACTGCGTTGCTTCCAACAGAAGGCTTTATACGACAGAAGCAAGTGTCATATACTGGATGTAGAAAAGCGTGCTAAATAAGTATGTCACACATACACGCCGCTGTATACAGACACGTGCACACATACATGCACATATATGTACATATATGCGTTTATGTATGCATGTATGTACATCTGCATGTATTTATGTATATATGTGTACGCAGGGGTCTGGACTGGTGTACAGCCTGAGCTCTCCAGTGTGCCCTGTGCAGGTGATGTGATGATCCACGGAGGCACTGCTCTGGGATGTGTGGTTGAGCCTGGTTCATTTTGCAGGAGTGCTCTTTAAGCCCGAGCCCTGACCAGAAAGCCTTCATCCCCAGTTCCGAAATCTGGGACTACCGACAACGAATTACATGATTTCTGGATGCCCCTATGCGATCACACGAATTTACCGGCTCTGAGTTCCCCCAGGACCTTTTGTGAGAAGGTCCTACAGACATGGACCATGGAGCAAGTCAATCAAACCTGGTATCTAATTGAGCGTCTATGTGGACGCAAGCAGTCGACCTGCAGGGGTGTCGGCGCTCCGCCACCGCCTCCTAGCCTGGCGGTGGCTGAAAACGCGAGCGTCCGGCGCAGAAGAGAGTCCAAAAAGACTGAATGTTTAAGGCTTTGACTGGTTCGTCTGCGTCAGTTTGATGGATTTCTCAGGTTCTTGCTGATACTTTTGGACGGGTTCTATGGCTGGAGATTCACACTAGCATAGTCATAGTCATCCGCATGGGCTGGCAGGATGCAGTAGGATGACGGTCGCTTTCCCTTCTTTTAGAGGAGCTTGCAGCGAGGGGCTTCGGTTCTTAGCCGGCTGGGAGCCAACACACAAACCTGAACTCCAAGTCCAAGCAATAGAATCCAATAGAATCAAGAGAAGCATCTGGCCCGTAGCTGCTGTTATGACTGTTTGACACCTGTTTTTGCTCGCGCAGTTGCGTGCCGCCGCATGTTGCGTTTTACATCGCAGCAGTGTTTGCCACGATGACTGGGCCAGCATTTGTGCCGTGTCATGACAACACCAGTAAGACCAGAAGAAGCGGTACTGTGATGGCTTGGTTTTGCTGTCGTCAGCGTCCCAGTCATGGTGATCATGGTCGTTTCGGTTGTGGTGACTGGGTAGAAAGTTGTCGTGGCCGTTGCTACTGTTGAACTGTTGTCGTGGCCGTTGTCGCTAGGGTGTTTTTCTTGCTCCTGTCGTTGTTGAAATCTTATTGGCGGTGTTGGTTGGTCGGTCGGTGTCGCCGGTGTTTAACACGTCAGTAGCCTAATGCTGCACAGTCAAGGGCCTGTCCTCACAAGTCTGGATCCAGGGCCAATGTCACCCTCTACTGTAAGGAGTATCCGAAGGTCTGGGTCTTAAGTCGGGTGGGTGATCTGGGACGCATCTTCTCGCTTAAGGCTTGATTGGTGGCTAGAGTTTCTTCCATTCGTGGGTTGGTCCATGTTGGTCTTACGAGTGCAGATTTCCAAGCAGCGCTGGCCCTTCTTTTCTATGGCTGCTAGTGCTTTTGTTGCATACCGCATGCCGTCGCTTCTTCCAACACCAGCATCAAGTTTCGGCCCGTCGGCGCCGGTCAGCTCCCATCCCCTAAGCTCTACAACCGGCATCCTGAACCTCTAGATATTCAACCCTGGACGAGTCTTAGTAATGGAGCCCCTGAACCCTGACCTGAATTGAATGACAAGCAAATTCAGTTGAAACGCTCAGATGGAGCTTAGCCGGAGCAGCATTTCAAACTCCAACCGCTGAAACGCCGAATAACAGCAAGAGTCCGAACCGCCACACTCGAAAGGCTCCTTCGAACATGCTCGGGCGTAGAGAAAAAGCCTTCAACAACCCTGAACCTGTAGCGAAAGATGCTTATGCCTGAAAGGAACCTGACTTTCGAGCCCCGAAGCAACGACCGCTGTTGTGAACAATGGCGCCGAAGAAGCGGAAATATGACGAAGCCGATAGCTTCGTCAACTGCCCTGTACGGGGATGCAAGATGCGACTTGGTTCGAACTAAGTGGTATCAGACTTTTCCGGACGATTTCGAAGAAACGGACCTTTAAATGTATTGCAGGCTCGCCCCGTAGGGATGTTTAGTCATGTTTCAGTTTAATTATCTGAAGTTTGAGGTTGAGGGTGCAGACAGGTCCTCTAAGGTGCTTCAGCGTTTGGGCTCAGGCGAAATAAGCGTCAGCGCTTCAGGGGTTGAGATGGTCCTTGCTGACTACTGCGCATCATCACAGACTCCTGGTTTGTTGGAAGCATGAGTCAGGCCGAAAACAAGGTGGATGGACTGAGCAATGAGCAAGGGGAGGTGTGAACTCGGGTTGTGGCGACAGTGAAGCAGGTCTTCAGCATCTTCAGCCTCACCGAAAGACCATGATGCAAACAAGCCTGCCCAAGGGCCAAAAAAGGGCCCCTGAACCCATGCCCGTTGCTGATCGTTTGGCCCAGAATTGAAATGCTGCAGCCCAATCTAAATCCGGAGGCGCCGCTTTTCCGATCTTTGGCCCCTGGGGCGATCTAAGTGCGTCTAGACACCAGCGAATCTTGCTGATATAGGGAAGACAGCCCGCGCGACCCCCGAAAAGATGAGACGCGTAAATCAGTGGCAGGGCGGGTTCGCTTCGGGCATCAGCCGACAGAGCTGGATGCTGTGCCAAGATGACATGCGCCAATCCAGTCCAGACCCTGTGCCATGTGCTGCATGTTGCATAAGACTCTGTTCGAGGGCGAGGCTGCATTCCTGGGACCAGTGCCCCTCTTGCCGAGCGGGTTGCACCGCGCAATGCCAAGCCCCAGAAACCAACCTTATGATACAGCCGAGGCAGGAATCAACCCCCAAAGCATGCAGACGATACTCCGCACCAGGGTTCCTTCTTATCTTTAACTACAGCTAATGCATTGTAGTAGCAGTAGTAGTACTCGTCGCCGTAGTAGCAAGAATTAGTATGATCTCCGTGCGAGAAGGACCCGAAAAAAGACTTGGAAGAAGCCCGTGTCGCTTCCTCGAGGCGAGTAGATGAGGCCAATCTGCAAGCTCACATCCTAGAGAAGCATGCGAAGTCCCAGGTGGCCCGAAGGGGCTGAAGGGGGTTGTCTGTTTTCGGAGTTAGGGTTCCGTGCCAATTTTTAAGGGCTTTTGGGAAAATGAGGGCCGGGTAGGATGACAAGGTGCATCTTCACTGCCCCCAGGTTCCAACGGTCCATGTTAAGTTCCCTGAAGCCGCAGAGTGCCGTCGACGAGTGTGCAGCTGCAGTCTTGCGCGGAACCGCAGAGTTTTTCTTCGCTTCTGTTGGTTGTGCGGACGGAGGAAATGGAAGTGATTGTTTTTCCTAGACCCGGAGGTCCTCAGCATTCTCGTGCCCAAGGGGTATACGTCTCGCGCTTAACAGGCCGCAAGGGAGATCAAGGAGAAGCAGGCGTTGGCGAAGGGCCCTCCGTGCGGGCCATGCGCCTTGTCTCAGCACCTGGCAAAAGGAGATGATTCCGTTTTGAGGTCCAAGGGGGGTCTTGTGTGCAGTTCCCGAGAAGCGACGCAGGTGCGATGGAAGTGTCTGCGGATGCGGCGGCTGCGGCTCCAACCGCCACAGCACGGCGGGAGGCCGCTGGGTGTCGAGGTTCCAGAATTTGTGAACAGTACACTCAGTGCCGTCTCCGGTAAGGGGAAGAGGTTGAGTCGGGTTTTAGCGACCCTCGGTATGCCCTCAGCCGACATACAAACCTGCAGCCAAAGCTCTGGGATCCCAACTCCTCTGGCTCATTTCTGACCCTGAGCTTCCCGCTTTGTCGAGTGTGGGCTTTTCCTTTAGCAAACCCTGTTTTCAGTTTGCCGTTGAGGAAGCTTCCTGGGACCTCTGGCATCCTAAACCCCAAACCGCCGTGCCTGCCTTGTGCGAGTCGAAACCCAGGTAGCCTGCGGCTCGATCGATGACACTCCTAGAAAATGTTGTGAATTTGGTGGTTGCTGTTGGCATGGCTGCTGCAAGCAAGGCGGCTGGGCCCCGGGCAAATCCATATAGAGTCCCGAAGCGAAACAAGCCGGCGCGGGGCATCTTTCGACACGACTGTATGAGCATCGATTCGGACGTTCTTTGCAAGACAGCCGTGCCCGGCGACCCGCTGTAACTGGCTGTAACGGTCATCGCTGCCGAGCCTTTCAACTTGAGCCCGAGGCTGACAGCCTTGCAGCTTTCGCTGCGCCCTGGCGGAGCCTCGTCGCCCCGGGGCAAGTCGAAATCTGAAAGACTTGTTTGGATTCATGCTCTGTCTCTGTGTGTGTGTGTGTTTCTTTTTTTCGGAGGGGGGTTGGGTGGTGGGGCTTATGGGCTTTAGGGTTCGGTTCTTGCTGCCGAGGATATTTTGGTGCGCGCAGCCTCTCCGGACTGAGTGTAAGATTCTATTTTTAACATAGTGTTTCCATTTAGCCAGGCCTCCATGTGTCGCGGTCGCGGAGTGTGGAGGTTTCGAAATTAGACTCGAGTGTGTTTTCCGTCTCAATGCTTCGCCAGTCGGCTGTTCGGCTCTCCACTCCTCTTCCGGATTTTGTTGCTTTAGTGTGGTTTCAGGTTGGTCGGGTTGTTTAGTCTGCTTCGATGGATAGGTGTGGGGCACCAACACCTCGAGCAGGGTTCAAGTGTGTGCTACATGACCAAAGCGATGACGCGGCAAACCGAACTAGAAGCATTCAGGCCCCTGTATTGTCGGAAGCCCGCCGTCGATAGCATCCATCATTGCATGCAGGCCTTCCGGCTTAAGACTTCCGGAAGCAGAGCCAGTTGAAGGCCAAATAAAGCCAGTCAAAGTCATAAAGCAGCCCAAGTCAAAAGCCCAAACTCAGGCATGCATCCTCCGAACGTGAGTAGTTGAGCAAAGAAAGGATCGAGCTTTTCGACTTGTCCGACGGGAACCTTTGTGGCACTTTCATGCGCGAGGCCGCGGATTTCAGAGATTGGATTGTCGTTCTTCGATCAGAGCTTATTAGCCAAACTGAGGACAACTTCGCCCCGCTTTTCTGAGCAATATTTGACCAAAAAGCTGGCCCTGCTCTCTGCGCCGACAGGATCCAGAAAATGGTTTCTTTTAAGGACCTTCGACCAGGATGGAACTGGTAGCCGCTAGTGTGGTGCATTCCCGTCTACAGGTAGGTATCAGCGACAATCTCCTGCACTTCAACATGCTGTAAGGTTGTCTTCCCTGAAGTAGCTGTATGTATGTGACTGTATGTCACGGATGCATGTGAGTGTATGTACAACTTTACGTAGCTGTATGTACTTGTATGTATATGTAACTGTATGTCTGTATGTATTCTGTAGTTGTATGCAACTGTATGCAGCTGTGAGCAACTGCACTGCATGCAACTGTGTGTAACTGTCTGTCTGTATGTCTGTCTGTCTGTCCGGCTGTCCGGCTGTCCTTCTGTCCGTCTGTTTCTGTCTGCTTGCATGCATGCATGCATGCATGCATGCGTAGATGGATGGGTGGATGGATGGGTGCATTATGTGGTGACACAACTGTGTTGTATATACCCGCGTGCTTATGACCACTATGTGTTTATACATTTATATGCGCATACATACATATATATATATATATGTATACATATACATATGTGTATATATATATGTATATATATATATATAGATATGTATGCATATACACGCATATACACATATTTATATTGTACAAACAGACGTACAGACGCACGTGCATACACTCGTAGCTCGTAGGTCGTACGTGTCTGGAAGTACCAGCATGCATGCATGCATGCATGCATGCATGCATGCATGCATGCATGCATGCATTCCGTGTTTTTCTGTCCAGCTCATTTCTCCGACTCGTTGTCAGCTACACCTGCCTGGGAGTGTGCGAGCATCTCTGCGCTCATGCTTGCGCGCACATGAAGACTGGACCCATGAAGACTGGACCTATTGATGGACAACCCCGTTCGAAATTGAACCTCAATTTTTCAAGGCATGACTCAGTTAGCCGCAGTTGCAGTGTTCAGCCCCCGCCTGCTGCGATTGGAGGCGCTGGCTGTTGAAGGGCGGCCATCGTACAAGTCCGACAGCCTCCCGGCTCGGGTATGATGGGATTAATTTAGGTGCGCAGAGTGCCCTGGGAAGTTAGGCTGTCTTCGGTAGCTTCAACCAGAAATCCAGAAGCCTTTTGGACTGTGCCGCAGCCGCCGATTGGCTTGTAGTGCTTGTGGAGGTCAGGTCAAACAAATACCCTTCAGTCGTTTCGCGAAAATGGCGACCGTTGGAGAGGTCTTCCAAACCAGCAGCGTCGTGCTCTTCTTGAAATACTTCATCACAAACCTACGCTGGGGGATATTGAAAGGGAAAGCCAACATGCGCGCAAGAGAGGATCCCAACAACAATCCGAACGCCACGCCAGAAGATGTTGACAAGGCAACAGCTGCAGGCAGGATTGTTCAGAATGACATCGAGAACATCCCCTTCGGATTGATCTTTATCTGGGGCGCGGCACTGTGCATCCTTGGTGTCCGAAGCTCTATGAAAGATTCGTCAGGGCTCTTCACCGCACACATAGTCCTCTCGGGCATCTTCGCTACGGCGCGGGTGGCGCATTCGATCATCTACATCCTTGGCTTGGGGCTCCCGAGGAGTGCTGTCTTCATGCTTGGCACCATGTCCTTGTTCGGCTTGGGAATCCTCGGCATGGTCGCAGCCTTCGAGATCGAGATATGAGCTATGTAAGATCTTGCTTCCGCAGAATGATGAACCAAATGGGATGCAATGTGATGTATGCTGTGCAGATCGTGGACTGCAGACGTTTATGATTCTGCTCGAAGGTCCCTTGTAGCACACTCACCGACTCAGATGCACGATCCGAGCCTGGGTTTAAAGAACCGGCTCAGTTTCCGCTTGGCGGCTTAGACCGGCGGAGGACACCCTCGCCCGCGAAAGAGCATGGTGCGAGGTGCTAAAAGTCCTGGTGTCCCATCCGTGCTTCATACCTGTGATATTATTCGGATTTTGTTTGATTGGTTGAGGGGCCCTCGGGTCAAGGTATTCAAGCATGAGGCAGACAGTAAGTTCGAGATTTGAAGAAACTGACGGGTACTGCCGAGGCTCTTGAAGACGCCTGACTTCCAGTTCTACGTATCCGGGCCCTTGTAAGGATTGTAAAGTCCTAGAAGCATAACAAGACTGGACAACAGAAACCTAGATGGAAGACTTTCAGGCACGGTCTTCAGGTTGGGCCGGGTTCAGGGCTTCGGATGCTTAGGGTACTCCCCTTCGCAATGGTGTTGCCATTCTTCGTCTTCATGCGTGCTATTCGTATAGCATAGTTCGGTCTTTGTTTGCCCATCTTCTTGCTGATCATTGCCAGTGTTTCTAAAGTCTTATTCCCATGACAATCATTGCTTTCGGACCGAGGCGGCCGACGGATACGCTGGAAGCAATTTAAGTCGCTGAGATCAGGCTGCTGGCAGCTGCTGTCTGCGAAAGGCCGGGATGGGCTAGGCGTGCGGCATCAACAACGGCTCTTCAGTCCGAACCTGTGAATGCCAAACCTTGATAACCACTTACTCTGAGGTTTGCTATGATTACTTCTGTTGCCTCATCAAGTTTAAGTTGTACCCTGCGCCCTTCAATGAGGCCGGCTTGACGCTTTCTCTGAAACGACTGCATTGACGCCCGTCGAGGCAAGCGTGCGCGCGCAGACCTGGTGTTTCCTTAGGGGAGGTGTTGAGGCTTGAGGGCTTTGGGCTTCTGTGCTTTGGGGTCGTACTGTTGTGGATGGGCGGTGACATGCCAGTATTTTGCTGCGGATGCTCGCTCTCACCGTGTCATCTGAGTCACATGCGGAACCCCAGCTAGTTTCAGGACCTTGTGCTCGACGCCTGGAAAATGCCGAACGTCGGAAGTTTCCCGACAAAGCCCATGTCGGCTCAAGGCATCTCAAGGCTCAGTTCAGTCATACACAAAGTGTGACTTCCTCCGCTGAGAGCATAGGTCCGACGATGCTGCAGAGGATCCTCGAGTTGCTGCTTTTTGCTGCCACCCGGGCACAGTTTCCGGGTGCGGACCTGCCTTTCCCACCGATGCCTTCCGAGGCGCTGCACCTGATTTTCATCTATCCATCGATCTACCTTTGTCTTTTCCCGAATTGTGTAAGCAAACAGACAAATAGAGGCATACAGTTCATCGATATAGACCAAGATATGGACGAGCTCCAAGGCATGCATACGTACATGGATTAAGCTGTATGTGTAGGCACTCATTCGTGTGCTCACAGTCCCGTGCGTTTGCATCTCTTGCTTTTCGCAGCGGTGCCACAGTGTGGTGCAAATTTTGGATGTGGCCCCGCGTTTGCCACACATTTGGGGTTGAGACTCGTGCTGCGGCACAAACAACGCTGCGCGTTGTGGCTTCTGCTCTTTCAATTTCGTCTATGTTAGGCTGATCTAGTTCGGCATTATGGACGGTGAATAGGCATGAAGCTAGGGAGTTGCAATCTGGTGACCCTTTGTCCCAATCCCACGCGTAGAAGCATGCGGGTGTGTTTCGGAGGCTGTGGTTGGCCCGACTCTGGCAGACTCCAAGAACAGTTGGCCAGCAAAGCGACAGACTTTGAAGAAGGATGCTCCGAACATTGTGGTGATCATGAATGATGATGTGGGCTTCGGGGCACCCGATACTTTCGGCGGCCCCATCCACACGCCAACATTGTCCAAGGTGGCATCGCGAGGTGTGTCTTACAACCGCTTTCACACCACGGCCATCTGCTCCCCCACACGCGCTTCAGTGCTGACAGGCCGGAACTCTCACAACATCGGCGCAGGGCAGATCACCGAGGCTGCAGCAGGATTTCCGGGATACACGGGAACCATCCCCAAGTCTGCGGCGACGGTGGCCAAGGTGTTGTCAGGATACGGCTATGACACAGCCGCCTTTGGCAAGTGGCACAACACCCCTGTGAACAATCTTTTCAAAACCGGGCCCTTCGACCAGTATCCGACAGGTCTTGGGTTCAGCTACTTTTACGGCTTTATCGCTGCTGAGACGTCGCAGTACGAGCCGCGGCTTTTTGAGAACACAAACCCGATTGAGCCTCCTTACACTCCGGAGGAGGGCTATCACCTCACTGAGGATCTCGCTGACCAAGCGATCAAGTTCATCCGCAACAACCGTGCACTTACGCCTGATCGGCCTTTCTTCATCTACTTCGCTCCTGGTGGCACCCACGGGCCCCACCATGTGCACAGCGAGTGGGCTGACAAGTACAAGGGTAAGTTTGATATGGGCTGGGAGAAACTTCGCAACATCACCTTCCAGAAGCAGAAGGCCATGGGATGGATCCCAACTACCACGGAGCTGACGGAGATAGACCCCACCATGGAAAAGTGGGAGAATATCTCAGAGAAAGAGCGCGCGTTCCAGCTTCGCCTGGTAGAGGTGTACGCGGGGTACCTCGAGCATACAGACACACAGGATGGCAAGGTCATCGAAGAGCTCGAGCGCCAAGGTCTGTTCAACAACACTTTGGTGATCTACATCCTCGGCGATAATGGGGCCTCTGCGGAGGGGCTGCATGGCAGCATTGACGAGCTTATCGTGGAGAATGGGCTGCCGGCCACTGCCGAGCAGCAGATCGAGATCTTGGAGCGAGACTTCGGTGGTCTCAGTGCTCTGGGCTCGAAGCATGTGCACAACATGTACCACAGCTCCTGGGCTTGGGCCCTTGATACGCCTTTCAAAAGCACCAAGTTGGTGGCTGCCCACTTCGGCGGCACTCGAACCCCCATGGTGATGTCTTGGCCAAAGGTAATCAAGCATGACCCAACTCCGCGATCCCAATTCCACCATGTCTGCGACGTCGTGCCCACAATTTTCGAGGCAATTGGCATCAAGGCGCCCGAGCATGTGGAGGGCGCAACTCAGATGCCCCTGGACGGTGTCTCCATGGTCTACACCTGGAACAATGCTTCAGCAGTGGGACGCAAGGATACGCAGTACTTCGAGGTCATGGGCAGCCGGGGCGTGTACAAGGATGGTTGGTTTGCGAGCGTCTTCGGCCCTCGCATCCCGTGGACGGGAACCAACGCAACACGCTTGAAGGAATGGAACCCGGACACTGACGTTTGGGAGCTCTATGACTTGACCAAGGACTACTCGCAGGCCCGTGACCTTGCCAAGGAAATGCCGGAGCAGGTGAATAAGATGAAGGGTATTTTCCTGGTGGAGGCGCAGAAGAATAAGGTCCTTCCTGTCGGCGCAGGCTTGTGGACCATCGCTTATCACCCAGAGCAAGGTCCAAAGTCACCCTTGACGGAGTGGTTTCTCTACGAGGGCATGACACGCATAGCGGAATCCAACGCGCCTCTTTTTCGCACAGGGTTTAGCTCCATCGCCACTCTGGACGTGGAGGTGGCCAAAAATGCTTCCGGGGTTTTGTACTGCGTGGGGGGAACCGCCGGCGGCTTCTCTGTATATATGGATCAGGGCTATCTCTATGCAGAGTACATGGCCACGTTGCTGTACCGCTACATTACGAAGTCGTCCGCACCGCTGAAGGAAGGGCACGCAAAGATTGAGATCAAGTTGCAGTACGAATCACAGCCTATGATAGCTCCCGCGCAACTTACTATGCTCGTAGATGGAGCTTTGGTGGCTTCACTCTTTGTGGAGAAATCGATGCGCTTGGCCTTCGATGCCTCGGAGACATTTGATGTGGGCATGGATCTTGGTTCGCCCGTTTCTTTGCTGTACCAGGACCGTGTGCCGTTCAAGTACAATGGCAAGATCAACCAGTTGCACGTAAAGTACATCAACGGCACCGCCGTCACATCAGCAAGCGCTTTGCTGATCTGAGCCCGGAAGGGCTTCAAAAGGACACCTGATTGAGTGTCCGACTTGTACGTTATTTAGCAGCTTTAGCATGACCCTGTTGAGGTGTAACGCCTTCCACTTTTGTGCATGCCTGCGCATGCAGCCTGTTACCCCGCAGCATCGATCATTACAATTTCAATGTTGACGACTCCTGACAGTACATTAACGTGGGAACAAGTCCGTCTGCCATTCGTGTTTACTCAGCAGGGCCTGAGTTTGATGGCTTTATGCCGCTATCGGAGGCTATCGGCTATCGTGTAGCCAATTAAACAGCCGCCGCTTGTTACTACATTTAAACCCCAACTCCGGGGAAAAAGGACGTTGTAGGCCGAAAACGGCATAGGCTTTCCCAGCTCGAGCTATTGAGCTATTCTAAGCGATGTATGGGGCCAATTCCAGATTCCCACCAAGACTTCGTACTGCATGCCCGACACACACCAGGCCTTCGGCGTGTTAACATGATGGGCATTGTCAACCGAAGTGAGGGACGCGGCAGCCATTCTGTCAGGATCTTCAGTGGAAGAACAAGGACAAAGAGGCCTGTCCCCGTACTTGGCTGTAGGATTGGAATTTATGCTCTGTGGATGCTTGCGCATGCAGGTTTCGATTTTTTTCTGACTTAGGACCTTCTGTGATATTGTTACAATCTCTGAGACCGTCCTGCCCGCGGCACATCAGGTAGAGTTTAGGGTTGGAGGCTTTATAAAGGCTTTATTTAGAGTCTGTGGATCCAGACATTGAATGGGAGAACTGGAACTCGGCTAAAAGCTTGCTGACGGAGGCTTAGGGACTGACATTGGCTGCCTGGCGCTGGTTGTAGGGAAGGCATCCTTGCCTAGTGCTTGTCGGCACGAGTTCGATCTCGAAACGTAGGCCGATGTTTGCGACATGCCCTTTGAATTTGTCTATTTATCTGTTTACCGATTGATATATTCATCTATTTGTCTATGTATCTATTTATCTACTTATCCATTTGTCATTTTTCTATTTCGATTATACATATACATATATATATATATACACATAATATACACACACACATATATATATATACATATATACACATATTATATATATGTACATATATGCCCACCATCCACGAACGTCTGCATGCTATGCCTGCCATATTCTGTAGATATACACTAACAGTCGTCAGGCTCCAGCTGGTATTATGTTCCCGCCCGAGCCTTGGGGATGAATACCCGGATTTCGCTCCTCGAAGCCGAGAGGCCGGGCCCAAAGCCTAAACCTCAATTTTCGGCTCTGGGAGGTCTTATCTTTCCTGCACTGCCGGGTGGCGCCGGCACAGCGCCTGCGCTACCAGGTACAGTGTTTACAGGTTCAAGAGGTTCAGGGTTTAGGGTCGCGGGAGTTCATGTGTATGCAGGGGCTTTCATGGGGCTACGCAGCTGCTGGGCGGATCCTCGGAGAGCCTCCAAGTTGCAAGCTGCATGTATCTGTACGAAGTGGTGAACGGCATTTCCAAAAAAAAACTACAGCTGCCCTTCCAGAAGAGAAAGCTTATCACCCTACTCCCTAAACCCTAATGTCAACCCAAAAAAGCGTGAACTTTAGCAGGCCAGCCAAAATGCCCACGCCGCCTCCGGGCTGTATCAGCTCTGTCGCCACCGCGGCAACTGGCGACCTGTGCCTCTCGGTTTTGGATAAATAAAGGAGGTTGCCTTTCTACGCTCGTGACTGGTGTGGTTCGTAGAAGTACTCGAGCTATTGCCACTTTTCTTGTCTTGTCGGAAGCATCCCTATTGTGAGGGTTGTGCGCATTACTTGGTGCTTCAATTGCGGCTATCTTATGCCATTCTAGTTCGAGTTTCGGCTCCAGCTTCAGGCTACTCGGCAAGAACAGCTCCGCGCCAAAGCCCCTGCAAGAGACGGTAGCCCAAAACCCAACAACCCTAACTCGAAGCCGACAGAGCCTCCGTGGATGACGCAGGCAGCCGACCCCCTGAACCCCTGAACCCAAAGCCCCAACACCCGGGAAGGGAGGGGCTGACGGGCTACAGCGGCTACAGCCTACAGTCGATTTTCATTGCGCACGCGCTTTCGTGGCCACTCGTCGATGCGAGAGCTGAGGGTCCAACTCAGGTATAGAAAAGTGGTGGATGCAGAGTTTCAAGACGAGGCAGGGCTTCGACTGTCTGCCCCAAGTCCTAAAGCCCCCGGGGCACAGGCAGCCGCAGCAGCTTCTGACAGCTAGTGGTTGAAAATGTCCGCATACAGGTAAACACATTCCTTTCGTGGAATTCAGTTAGAACCTATTTGTTCTTTTGATGCAGAGGGCTCAGGGTATTTAGGTGGGGCTAATAATGAACACGAGCGGTTCAGTGTGTCCAGGCGGAGGGTAGAGCAGAAAAGGAACCCACAATCGAGACTGCAGATAAAATCAAGAGGCCCCTTTTGGAAGCTCCTTGCAGGAGGAGACCAAAGCTGTGGACCTCTTTGAGTTGTCTTACGTGCCGCCTTCGGGTAGAGGTGGCTCGGTTTGAGTTTCGCATGTTATCGGTGCTTTCGGGGAGGAGCGTCGCAGCGCTGGCGTGAACTTTACTGTTTTCGTGTAAGTATGTCCCTTGAAAGTTTGGGGGTTCAACCGTGTTTCGGATCAGCTAGACAGTCATATTATGTCAAGAAATTTGGCTGTAGCATGTGCGTCGCTAAGCAGTGCAAGCCTTCACCGATTCTCCTTAGGTAAGAAAAACGCCGCACGCTGGGAGATCCGGGCGCCGGGCGCGGAAGCACCCCTGGAGACCATCGCAGGCTTCTCTGCCAGATTCTGTGGTTTTACGCTTAGCTTGCTTCCAGGTTCGACAGGGCTTCCCGGATTCAGATGTATCAGATGCTTAGGGGTTCTGCCACGAGTGCAGCGGCTCTGAGATCCAGGCCAGGTGAGCATGTAAAAGTCTGTGCAAAATGCCTCGTTTCGGTGGTTGTAAACCCTGCTGTTACGACAGGGTTTGGGCTTGGGGGGTTGGGGTTTGATACTGGGGTTTAGGGCGCAAGGTTTAGTGTGAAACTGGCAGCGGATGGAAACTTGCATTCTTTCAAAGACCTCAGTTCGCCTCAACTTGAAACAAGATGCAGAGATAGTTTCTGTCTCTTGGCTCGCTAACGTTTGGAATCTCAGCCGGCAGCGCTGAACTTCAGAGCGTGGCCGGACTCGCTCTTTTCTGTTCACACAGCAGATGTATTATGACAATCGTGTGGCTTGAGCCAAACAGGTCGTTTGGCCCAATCTTCTTTGTATCGTCGCAGCAACACTTCTCGGTTCGTGCTCCTGGAGCTGCTTGCTCACGCTCTCAAATTCACCACATTTAGGAATTGCGGTTTGCGCTCACTGTAGGGTGTATGGTGCAGTTTGTTTTGAAAATGTAGGGTTCGGGCTTCTGGTTGGGGCTTAAGCTCCGGCTTGCGGCTTTACGCATACATGTAGCGATCCTGTTTAGGGCTTCAGAAATGGGGTTGGGGAATGCTATATAGGGTCCATAGCTTAGGGTGGGCTTGCTATACTTCGCGAGACAGGTGGCGACATGTGCGATGTGCTGATAGTCCGATGTGTTACAGAACCGACAGGGCGACAGGGACCGTCTGCACGCATCTGTACTTACGGAAGATAGACGGTATATGTTCACAGACATGGAGACACACACACACACGCGCGCACACAGAGACCCATACAGGCACATTTTACATTGACATGGACTGTGAATGTCGTTCACTGCAATAGAGTGTCTGTTCCAATGATAATGAGGGACAGTAAAGGAGGTTGGCTAAAAATGAAGAGTGGGCGCCTATGTTTACCCTTTTGGAGTTGGGCCAGGTGCTTAGGATGTTGGTGTCCGAAGGGCTTCGGGTTCATGCGGAAGTGCAAATGCACGGCGTCTCTCGTTTATGGGAAGTGTTTGTGGTGGAGCTGAGAAGGAGGTTTCAGAAGTTTTTGAACCCAAATATTCATGGTCTTGCAAGGTGGAGCAAGCGAGTGTTGAGAGTCGCAGATAGGCATCCTGTTTCAATCAGTTTCTGGTGCTTTGCTTGGCAACACTGCTCAGGAGACGCCATCTTGCCGCAGGACGCTCGCAGCAGAGAGTGACGTCTTTTGACTACTACGGCTCTGGCAACAACTCGGAACGAATGCCAGGTGGCATTGATAGTCCGATTGCTCATTCGGCAGCATTGCCAACTCGTTGTTCTTCAACGTGTATCCCGAGCCCCAAAACAGTGGATCGGACATGGTCGGAGATTGACACAAGGATAGAGATGGCGACGGGATAATGGCCATCATCGTGCTAGCAATGGTGGTAGCAAGCTGCCGTGCGAGGCAAGCTGTCATGCAGCTATTCTCTCTTTCTGCCTTATTGTTGTCTCGCCGGTGATACTTAAAGGCAATTTCAACAGCACGCAGAAATTCGCCGTTGGAAAAATGACAGTATTTCCGCAATAGCCCATGCTAGCATGACACGGCTATGAAAAGTGGTGTTGTGGGCCGGGCTGTGGCAGTGGTTGTTGCTGCTGCGTGAAGTTTCTGCCCCTACCATCCCCATCATCCCTAAAACCCACACCCCCACGAGGTTGTCCTCGGCATTGCGACAGGTCTGTCCGGTCCTCTAACTGTCTCCAGTTTCTCGAGAACCCCTTGCAACAATCAGATCCTCTTCTGATGCCATTTACGGGAGCAGAATGCTTTCCCAATCCATCTCAAGCCTGGGATCATGCAATCCTGCAACCACAGGACCTCGGCAATAGTTTTGCGGTGGTCGACACACGGTGTGGTCCTTGGGTGTTTGGCTGTGTGTG